TTTACACATACGAAGAACGACTAACGACTTATTTAACGTAATAACTTGGATCGTAAAAGATTGTATTTTTATTAAATTTCCATGTATAATATATTATTTACTGAAATCAAATCTATCTATAACTTATCTTTGTTCATATAACTTCTATTTTATCGTCATTTATAATGTTGAAAGAAATTTATAAAATTTATTATAAAAATACGACATTACCAAAGTCCAGCATCCCTTCGGATACATAAGTGGCGATATGACGTATTCAACCCCCTGATGACTCTGGCTGGTCACACACACACCCCCTTTAACGCGGACACCTGTTCGCAACCGGGAGACCATTCGACACGTTGTAAACGTAATACGTATATACGTGGACGTCGCGACGCTCCGACAGAGACCCTTTATTATGGTGCCTCTATAGCTTCCCTATAAATGTAAGGGGTGTGATAGGCCACCGCCGTAAAGCTTGGACAGATGGAGGGCGTATCTACTACACGGGGTGGCTACAGAATCCTATATCCTACCGACCGGTACATACAGTACGTTTACGTACATGCATATACATATGTATAAGGCGCGCGCGCGCGTACGTACCCACCCTTCGTTTATGCGTGGGGCTTGTTTCTGGAACACTTCTGGGACGCATCTGGGTAGCTGACTAGTAATCGTCGAGCATTTTTCACGCCGCAGTACCGCACGCTCGCACCCACCCTTTTCGCATTAGGGGTGGACAAAGGAATCTGATAGAAGGTGGTAACATTCTAACAAAACGAAAAAAAAAAAGATTGTAGTCCAATTACAATTAGCCTAACGCGATAACGTCGTTTGTACGATCGTGAATGAGCTTTCGTATTTCTACGGTTATTTAGTTTCATGTAGAATGCCAATTTTCACATGGGTCTCCATTGTATTTACATTCCTGTTACGGGCTCCTAATGGGTACAGTTATGCAAAAGCGTAGCTGTAAATTAGACAATTTAATAATGGACAATGGTAGGCGACGTATTTTTATTTATACTGTCTCCGTCTTTCTCTGACGCGTGTATATTTCCATAAGACTGTCTCTCTCGCACTCGCTGCGGGTATACGAAACTTGGAAAATCTTTGAGAATCAGCACGTGGACTATCGCTCGATCGAATTGGAGCGTTGCCAACGGACGCTTGAAAAGTTTTCTTTGGTTTTTGGATTTAGAACCTTGCCAAATGTCTTTTTCACGTGCGCTAATAGAGGTATGATAGAGCGAATAAAACCTAATGGATTTTATGAACGGTAAAGGAATCGTATATGCGGAAGATAAGGAGACGTAAAAAGCCACGGCGAAGTGTGTCTCTGCGGGACCATCGTATAGATTAAGGGCGTCAAGCGAGTTTAGATGCCAGGAAAAGGGGCACTCTGATCAAGGGGTGAGTAAGGGTTGCAAAGCGAGTTTTAATGCCAATGGGGCTCAGTGACGGTGCAAGTGTTCCTGCACCATAATGAAAGCCACTTGACTCTTTGCTCTACCTCAGCGCTCCCAACGAGCCACCTCTGGGCTAAATTTCACGGTATAATTTCGCCGCGTCGAGAATCACCCCAGCCCCTACGAGGATGTAGGGGCAAGCAACCAGCGTCCCTGATAGGGCAGTTTCACCAGTTCATCGGCGGAATGACTTTTAACGGTATCATTATTTCGTGGAATCTGATCTGCCAGATTGAAATTAGTTCCAGGCATACCTTTACGGAGTCCCATAAAAGGTCATTACTCTTGCACCGGCCGGTGCCCATGTAATTACATAAACTCGTCGATCGGCGATCGAATAAAAATTTTCGGAAAGCACAGCAAACCCAACCAGCCAACAGTTTTCCCTGGGTAAACTGAATGCGAGTGTGATTATTTTTTGTGGTTAAAAAAAAATGAAGAAATTAGTCCGACGAGTGTTTGAATATTTAAAAGGGCTGCAGCGGGTCCTCGCGAGGGGATGCAGGCACGAGCCGGGGGTATTGGCTACGTCCGTGCAGAGATTGCGTGCGTTTACAAAGCAAATGGCTTGAAAATAACTGAGTGGTATGGCCCCGGGGCCGCACGGGTAGAAAAGCAGGCGGCCGATGGTGGCTGCAGGGTACAGGGGTTGATTCGAGGGAGTTTGAGAGGAGCTGCCCCACTGGTAGGGATT